GTCCCAGCTACTTGGGAGGCGGAGGCAGGAGACTCGCTTGAGCCCAGGAGTTGGAGGTTGCTGTGAGCTGTAATGCCACCGCACTCTACCCAGGGGAACAGCTTGAGGCTCTGTCTCAAAAAAAAAAAAAAAAATAAGTCCTATTAACAAACACAGGTAGCTTTCCTTTTGTGGTTACCACAGAACAATGCTTTGATGAACATTTACTTACTAGCACAAGTCCAACAGGAACATAAATTCCTAGAAGTAGAGCTGCTGGGTCCAAGATGATGGTCATTTTCAGCAAATATCCCAACAGGCAAGTTACTTAAGTGAGCCCTGATTTGTTCATCTTTGTAAATAGTAGACAATGACTTTCTCAAAGGGTTCCGACCGGCATAAAATGAGGAGGTTCTAGTATAAAGCAAGCAGGCTGTCAATGAACATTGTTCCCCAACTTTCCGTTTACTTAGACGATTATTTATGACAATGGCTTTGGCCATGAGCCCAACAAACAAAAATTCACAGTAAATTCTATTGCACCCTATCTATTTTAAACCCAATTACTGAATACAACTAGTTCACTAGTTGTGATCTCCGGAGGTCAAATTGAACATATCTGAGAAGACACAAATTTGATATTAATTCTAAATACCATTTTCCTTGCCTAATAAGGTCGGTTGGATAGTTGCCTCGTTTATTATCCCTGATAATAAAAACAAAACCTACTACAGACTACTATTCCGATTAAGCTGTATCTTCCAGTAGCGTCTTTTGTACTTGCGTGACAAATCTTGCTGCTCAATTCAAGCCATTCATTCATTAATAACTCAGTTTCCAACTCTGAAGGAAAACACTGACAAACCCGGAAAATTTTGGACCTTTCATTTCCTTCAGGAAACCTGCTGTACCCCAAACTTCTAGGGTCCTTAGGCATTTTATAGTTTTGTATCAAGAGTGCAGAAGAGAGTAAATGGGTCGGCTCCATCCCGGATCCCGGCCTGCGGGAGGGAAACTCGGGGCTGGAGGCAGAAGCTCCGAGAAGGGCCCGTGGGGCCGGGCAGCCATTGCTCCGCTCCTTCCCGATGTTTGTGTGGCACTCACAGCACTCGGCCCAGGGGCACCCGACCCCACAGCCACCGCGCCGCGGGACAGGCGGGCGGTGACTCCTGCCCTTCGGGGCACGAAACCAGCCTTGGCCGCCCGCTCCCGCCTCCAGCGCGGGAAACCCGGAGCCTCGGCGTGCGGCGCCGGCCCGCGTGAGCCCGAGGCGGGCTCGGCTCCCGGCCCCGCGGGGCGGCCA